TCTTTTATTCTTTCCCTCCCCCACGGGACAATCTAATAAAACTACTATTTGTTGGAGCTATGCATATATTTTTTTTTTCAATTATACTTAATTTTTTATACAATTTATTGCAATACAATATATGCCTCATATTTTCTTCTCGTACCATATTACACATTACATCTGTGTATGGAAATAGAACTGTATAAGCTACTATAAAACAAGAAGAAAAACCTTCATTTGAAAAAGCATAAATTTATCATTCTAATGGATCAAAGCACGAAATTTTATAACTATCAATTTAAGACAGAGGTGGTTCAATGTGATCATTTATGGGTGCATCTCATCTTCAAATTTGACATTTTTGTTGTCTACATTTGGATAATATGAAGATATAGTCTAGGGGTACAATTAATCTATGCATTTCTACTCATAAGTTTATCACATGATAAATTTTCAGGAATATTTATCGTAGAAGCTAATCGTAAATTTTTTTTGCTCAAATTTACTTGTTTTCTTCTTCATTGGTATATAATTGAATATTTGAGATGATTTTGGGACGAAACAAATTAATAAAATGAGGAGTATTATATTATGCATCCAAAATCAAGAGATACTGTAGATGTGACTTATTTGTTATTATTAAGCATTATTATCCTTTTAATTAAGTTCTATGTGTCTGCATCATTGATACTTCCTTTCCTTGTAAGCCATGGGTGCTAAATCCGTTGAAAATTAAGAGGTCCATTACACTATAGCTAGTCATGCATTCCCATGTGCAAAGACAATTCAACTTGGGGATTATGATATTGCTAAATATTGGAAACTTTGGAATTTGGATATTGTTTATTTGCTGTTGTGACAATTAATTCTTAAAACTTTTTATTACAATTGTTAGTAATCTCTTTTGTATTTCTAGTGCATCAAAAGGGGTACATGTTTGCTGGACCTGCCAGTTACGTATAATTTACATTTGTAAAAGGAGGAATTCTAAAATGCTTATAAATTACCGGTGCTTTTGGTTACAAGTTGAATTTATATTATAACATTGAAAATATATAGCAGGGCACTTATAACAGTCAATGGCGGATACATGCATGTTTATGGGTGTCTCGGGTAGGGATGACAATTTCGACCTGATTTGTTTTATCCGACCTGTTTTGAGGCGAGGCGGGGCGGGCATGGGTATGATCTCATCGAACCGACCTGCCCTGACCCGCCCCATTCTCGACCCGTTCTTGCCTAAATTACATGTAAATATTAGTCAAATTAATTAGGATTTCTCTTCTATTATATCATACTTTAACTATAATAAAGTTATAAATTAGTTAAAATCTCAATTTCTCTTATAATTTAACTACATTTATCAAAATATTATTTTTTTTCTTGGTCTTATAATAAAAATAAAGAATATTTCTAATGTTTTTTTTATGTAAATTGCATACCCATTGGGTCGACCTGCTCCGACCTACGACCCGTGATAAATTACCCGACCTGGACCTGACCTGCTATGGCCTATGGGAAGGGTCTGGGTACCAAGAAACCCGGCCCGGACCTGCCCCATTGCCATTCCTAGTCTCGGGACACCCCTAAAATTTGGAAATGCGATTATTCAACCTCCGATAGTAGTTTGCGATAAGAAAAAACATATTTAAGTGGTAATGGGACACCCTTAGAATTTGGGAAAATGATTATCCGACCTCTCGTAGTAGTTTGCGCATTGATATAAATAATATTTAAGTAGTATTCTATGTGATTTAAACTTGGGACACTGCCATTATTAGTAAACCAATTTTCAGTTACACTGCAACTCATTTGTTATTGTGTTTTACATCCAAATATAATAGTAAAATGTTGTTTTTTTTCCGTTGAATCAGTTGCAATTGTATTACCAAACTATATGCAAATTACATATAGTGCCCGATACAACGAAAGGATTACTCAAGACAAGTAACCCTGCAGAGAAGGGAACAACTCCCCCCACAAACCCACCTGACTACTCTAAGCTCTCCAAACCAGACTATAGGAAACCAGTAGCCACCAGGTCAGTCTGTAAATCACTGTCAACACTACCCAAATACAAAAGATCAGAAGTAATTAATCTACTGAGAGTTGCAGCATCCCTTGGAGCAATTTGATGCTGTCGATTACATCTTTCACGCCACAGGTATGCGATACAGGCACACCAGAAGACTCCAATTACCCTCCCAATCGAGGAACCCTTCTTGCTCAAAGCCACAGCAGCCTGCACATTCTCTTGCCAACTCAATCTACAGAGCAGATGACCTCCCCTCCAGCAAGAAATAACCTGCGGTGAGTAAGGACATTGAAAAAACAAGTGCTCCTTGGTCTCCAAGGCCCCCCTGCAAAGCAAGCATGAGCCATCCAGGATCTTACCCCACCTGACCAGCTTGTCCCTGGTAGTAGTACCTTCCATCAAAACCAGCTAAGTGATCAAACTATTGTTAGGCAGATGCTTTTTACCCTAGACCAGTTTTGACCAATCCACTTGTTGATGTTCAATACGCAGAGTATTCCATACAGTGGATACCTTATAAACAGGCATCAGCTTACCATCCCAACTAGGAGTATCACCAGCCATTGTTAGATGAGCCTGAAGTAAAGGTCGAAGCTTGAGGACCCTTCTCCATGCCCAAGAACTACTTGGACTCATATTCATGGTCCAAACACTACCCTGTTTGATTATGTATTTCCACATCCAAGCCACCCAAATTGCACCACTTTTCATCATAAGAAGCCAAATCATTCGAATAGTACATGCTCTATTCCAAGCCAGAAGATCCTTGATGCCCAGTCCCCCCTCTCCTTTTGGTCGAGCCAGTCTCTCCCAGCCAATTTTAGCTCTACCCTCATTACCCCCATGCCAAAGGAATCTTGAGCATACAGCATACACCTTCTTTAAAACCTTTTTGGGAAGGAGGAAAACCTGCATCCAATATTGTAGGATGCCCATAAAAACAGAGTTAATCAACTCAAGTCTACCTGCATAACTCAATTTCTTTGCACGCCAAGTCCCAATCTTCTGAGTGATTCTCTCAACCAATTTATCACAATCAGCTGAGGAAAGCTTCCCTGAAAATAATGGGAGCCCCAAGTACCTGACAGGGAGTTTTCCCTCTTGAAACCCAGACAACTGAAGAGCATTACCCTTATACAGCTCAGATATCCCCCCAAAATAAATTTCACATTTGCTCGGGTTACATTTCAGTCCAGAAAGAGAATAGAACTCAGATAACAGCTCCTGAACTTTGCATATTGCTTGTGCAGAGCCTTCTGTAAAGATCAGAAGGTCATCTGCAAAGCATAGGTGAGTCAAACCTATGTGTTTGCACTGAGGGTGGTAAATCAGTTGCTTTCTTTCAGCAGCTCTGTTAAGAATAGAAGATAGCCCTTCCATGGCAATGGTGAAGAGGAAGGGGGAGAGAGGATCCCCTGCCTTACCCCTCTTTTTGCCCCAAAGAAACCACAGAGTCCCCCATTGATGACCGTGCGAGTATCCTACCTATTATGCTTGACTAGTTTACTAAAGATTTGTATTAAGTCTGTATTGGACTAAAATAGAGTAAGAGATAAACATTAGACGATTCAATTTATTTTTGTCTTTTAAACTTGGAAATTAATTCAAACTTATAGTGGCGGCTTTACATGTATATATTAGCATACAGTTCAGTGAAGAGATAATGATAAGTTAATACCCTTACAAGTCAACAAGACCCATAATGTCTTTATTTTTACAACGAGACCCATGAGAAATTTTACAATGCTATATAGTATTGATGCTATAGGTTTTTGCCTTTATGGTACAACTTAAAATTGTACATTTACGTTATGGTACAACTTCAGATTGTACCTATACTTTTTGTACAAATTCTTTTATGGTACAACTTGAACTTGTACTTTTATGTAATGGTACAATTTCAAGTTGTAAAGTTGTACCATAACATAATGGTATAAATTGCTTTATGGTACAACCTAAACTTATACATTTAATGTTATGGTACAACTTTGAGTTGTACATTAAAGCACCAATGCTATATAGCATAGTAGGAGTCCCATAAGTTATTAACTTAATTTCTTATGGATTTCTCTTTCTTTAAACCCACGTTTCAATTAAATGATAACTTCTGCCCGTAGCCAAAGGTAACATAACCTAGTTGTGAAACCTCTCGACTAATTGAGCTCTGTATGTGGGAGGTCCTGAGTTCGATTCCCAGTGCCGCCACTTGAGCGTTCCCAGCGACACCCTTGGTATCGAAGGCGAAGCCTCTCCGATGTTGGTAGCAGAAAGCCTGGTTAGTATGCAGGTACCCCCAGTGGTTTAATAGACCCCCGCTGTCGTTCAAGCGGCACGTGGGGCTGAGGTTTCCTAAGTTATCAAATAAAAAATAACTTCTACGCGTACAAACATTTAACATTTTCGAAAATATTTAATTCATTTTAAAATATTTAACCCCATGTTACAATGGCTGCGAAAACATCGAAAAAACAAGTAGCTAGCTGCGAAAGTTTCTCGACCATTTTAGGTAAATACTTAGCAACAAAATTGCACTTTGTATATGATTATGTAGGATAACAATCTCATGATATCGACGAATGAATACAGTATATATAGCATTTTGTATTTTGGATAGAACTTTGAAAATTAATAATGTGAATATCTTTTGGTCAACTAAAATCAAAATAAGAGGGTTTGTTTTTTCCTCTTTTCTTTTTGCCATTTGCTTTCAAACCCAAACCAACCAAGCTATCAAATTATATATGAATGATAAAGAAAAAAAAAAGAATAAAGAAGAGTACACATGACATGATCACATGAGTCAAATGTTTAATTTTCTCTCCCTTTCCATGAAAGTTCCCCTTTCCAACCCAAACAAGAGTGTTCCATCAAAGTCCTCATAATCAAATCTCCCATCTTTATTTGGACAATTCCATTTCCCTACCTTCCCCTATAAATACTCCATACACATATACATGTTTCCCTTATCCTCTTTACACCTCAAAACTTACAGTCATGGCCTCTCTGAACCTTTTCTCCTTCTTTGCTCTGTTATTCCTCTGCCATGGAGCTCTGCATCTCCAAGCTTCACACCACCATGTTTACAGCAGGCTCCAAGATGCTGTTGCTTCTTCTTCTTCTTCTTCCAAAGGCCAGCCTTACAGAACAGGATACCATTTCCAGCCTCCCAAGAACTGGATCAACGGTACTGCTTCTTCTTATTTTATTTTTTCCCCTTTGATATTAAATTGATGATTTCAATTTTCAAGGGATCTTTTTTCCTATATGATTCTTGACACATTTTTGCTTTCTCTCTGGCTGCTTGACATGGTGTGCTGCTGCTCTCTCCCGTGCTTGGCTTGGTTTTCGCTTACAGATCCCAATGGTGAGTCGTCGGTCTCGTGTTATCGATTTAGCCTAACTACATAGACATATTTGTCCCGATTCATATATCGAGTTCGGTCAATGATATGAAAAATACTCATATTTGGTCATGATTAGAGAGACAACTGTTATCACATTCACATCCATCTCATTCCAATCAAAGAAAAGAGCAGTGTCATGTTCTTATGGATATTAGATTGATTTAACTCTGTTCTGATTCACTCACTTTGAGTTTTTTTTTTTTACGATCCGTTGTTAAAAGCCAAGGCAACTAAGTAATTAACTTAGGTTGTTTGTTTGGAAGTTGTGATTCTTTAAATTGATGTATTGGGACAATTAGTGTATTATCATTTGATGGATTGAATCAATTGATGTATTAGGTAAATATTTTGTTTGGAGGTTTAGATTGTGTTTTTGTTCCAAACGTAAAAAAGTTAGTATTAAGTGATTGTGAAAAATCACAACAAAAAGTTGAAATTGTAAATCCCTCAATATTGAGTGATTGTGGTGGGACCTTTAAAAAGTAAATGCATGTATTCTAGTTCTATATAAACTAAAAAAACGACTTAATCTCACAAATACATAAATTAGATCAATACACCATTTGAAATCACAACTTTCAAACGACCCCTTAAAAAAGAGTATGGTTGTTGGTTTCCCCTTTGCAAGTCTAAATTGGCAGGCCTTCGATTCCTTCTTTGGTTTATATAAGACCAAGAAACATATTGGAACTCTTGGTTTATCCTCCCGTTATTTCAAATCATTACCCAACCGCCCAAATAAAGACAAAGTCAGATATTGACAGCTTGTTTATTTTAGAACCTCCAGTCTAGTGACAACTTGTCGTATAATAGTTTCCCAAATAAAAAAGTACGACTAGGATTGTGTAATGAACTGGAGTTCGTTTGAAAGTTGTTATTGTTAGAGTTGTGTTTGTTAAATACATGTATTATGCACAATACAAATGTTTGAAAGTGTCAAATTGAAAAACAATGCATGTATTGTTTTGTGTAGGTCCCACCAACAATTACAAAAAATGATGCATTATACAATGTCAACTAAAAGTTGAGATTCTTATGATTGTTCCTTTTAGATTTGTGTCCACTTTTTCTTTCCATTTGTATCCCCAATATTTTTTGTTTTATACTAAAAGGTGAGGGTAAATGTGACATTTCTCTATAAAGTAACTTTATACAAATCAATACATAAACTAGAATAGAATCTCAACAACCAAACAATATATTGTCAAAATGCATCTATTGTATCAATGCATGTATTTATATTGTAGTAATTCATTACAATACAACGAATTCTTCTCCTTGCTGTATTGTTGTTGCCTTTTGATGGAAATGCACGTTCCTAACCAGCTACGATATTTTTTCACAATTCATCAATTTTACAGGACCTATGATTTACAAGGGAATCTATCACCTGTTCTACCAGTACAACCCCAAAGGTGCGGTCTGGGGGAACATTGTGTGGGCCCACTCGACATCGACGGATCTGATTAACTGGACCCCACAGGGTTACGGGATCTACCCATCTCAACTGTCGGATATCAACGGCACCTGGTCCGGTTCCACCACGTTTCTCCAGGACGGCACCCCAGCCATTCTCTACACGGGAATCAACCCAAAAAACCAACAGGTTCAGAACCTGGCCGTGCCCAAGAACAGGTCGGACCCGTATCTCAGGGATTGGGTAAAAAACCCTAAAAACCCGTTGATGGCACCCACGCCCCAGAACGGCATCAACGCCTCGTCGTTTCGAGACCCGACCACCGCCTGGATGGGTCGCGACAAGATCTGGCGCGTGATCATCGGGAGCAAGGTCGACGGCAAGGGGATGGCCGTTCTGTACACGAGCAAAGATTTCGTGAACTGGGTTAGGGCGGACCAGCCGCTGCATTCCACGGACGGGACGGGCATGTGGGAGTGTCCCGATTTTTTCCCTGTTCTCATGGGCGGGTATAAAAATGGGCTCGACACGTCCAGGCTCGGCCCCAGAGTGAAGCACGTGCTGAAGGTCAGCCTCGACGACACAAAACACGATCACTACACGATCGGAAATTACGACCCGATCAAGGACGTCTACACTCCGGATCACGATGGACTCGCCGAGAAAGACTTCGGGCTGAGGTACGATTATGGAAAGTACTACGCCTCGAAGACGTTCTTCGACCCCTCGATGAACCGTCGTATCCTGCTCGGTTGGATCAACGAATCATCCAGCGTTGTCGACGACATTAAGAAAGGGTGGTCTGGCGTACACGTAAGTGATTGTTTTCGCAATTGAATTTACTTTTCTCCCCTCTCTTATGTCATTGCATGCTTAGAATCATCAATCCTTTTTCTTTTGTCAATGTAGACAATTCCAAGGACGATATGGCTGCACAGATCAGGGAAACAACTTGTACAATGGCCGGTTAAGGAAATAGAGAAGCTAAGAGGGAAGCCTGTAGTGGTGCCAACTCGAGTGCTGAATGGAGGATCAAAGCTTGAAGTGAAGGGAGTTACAGCTGTACAGGCTGACGTGGAGATGTACTTTGGGAAGTTTGATTTGAGCAGAGCTGAAAAGTTGGACCCAAGTTGGACCGACCCACAGTTGATTTGTAGCCGAATGGGCTCATCGGTTAGAGGGAAGTTGGGTCCATTTGGGTTGCTGGTTTTGGGGTCAAAGGGATTGGAAGAATACACAGCCGTTTTCTACAGAATTTTCAAAGCTAGTGACAGTAAATATGTGGTTCTCATGTGCAGTGACCAAAGCAAGTAAGTCTCTACTCTCTCTACTTGATTTTCTTGTGCCAAAATATTCTATAACTTGTGTGGAAATTTTTGACATATTTGATTTTTAATTTTTTTTGGGCAGGTCTTCGTTGAACAATGCTAATGATAAGACTACTTATGGGACATTTTTGGACATTGATCCTATCAAAGAAATGTTGTCTCTTCGAACTCTGGTGAGTATCGATTTTTAGTAATTTTCAATTCTTAGATGGTGAGGGAGCGAGACACTCTAATTATCCCACACAAATGTTATTTATGATAAGATAACTAATAATTTGTGTGCGTCTCTATTGAGTGAAAGTTGCATATTTTTGCCCTAAAAAGAAGGGATATCTATACGCCAGTTGTGTTGATAACGAGCTTGATGGATGTTTCAGATTGACCACTCTATAGTGGAGAGCTTCGGTGGATTTGGGAAGAGTTGCATCACATCAAGAGTATACCCAACATTGGCCATTGATGGGGCAGCCCATTTGTATGCTTTCAACAATGGAACTCAGCATGTGAGGATCGCAAGATTGACTGCTTGGAGCATGAAGAAAGCCCACATTGCTTGATATAAATGATCAAAATTTATGGCGATTCATTAGGTTAAGTAAAGATGAGATGTTGTAACCCATTAGGGGGAAGAAATGAGTTATATAGATTTTGTAACAGGTTGATACTATATCACTGAACATTCGATATAACATCTATTTAATAAATGTGACAGTTGAGAACACATGAATTTTTCAAAGGGAGATTGAGCTTACTACCAGGGGCGGAGGGAGAGGGCAAATGGGTGGGTCCCGGGACCCACCCTAGCTCGGGAAAAAAGGACTAAATTAGGTATAACAATTAATTGATTCGGAAAATTAGAGTATGTTTAATTGATAATCGTTGATCGAAAGGTTTTGTGTTCTAGTTTTGACGACCTCATTCATTAAGCACATATAGTATTCGAATTTGTGCAAACTTAAATTCCACATAATTTGATTTTCTTATAACGGGGTATGTTGGTAAATGGTATATAATATATTATTGAACTTCAACCAACAACTCTAGTTATTGATACTATGGTTATTGACAAAGAACACAATTCGAAAGCGAACAAATAACTAAATCATGAATAATTATTTGTATAAGATTCATTATTAAACCTATAGTAAATAATTATTGGCAAATAACATCATTCGAAAGCGACCGAATAACTAAATTATGAATAAATGTTTGGTATATAGAGAGAGTGATATTCTTAATAGTTTTGACTATTAATGTATTTTATTTTATAAAAAATTTTAAATATAAAATTATATTATGAATAATTAAAAAAATTAATAAAAGTTATTTCATCATATATATTTTTTCAAAGTGGACCCACCCTGGTCGAAATCCTGGCTACGCCCCTGCTTACTACTCTTTTTTTTGTTGGCCTATAGGTAAGATTTGAGTTCACATAACAAAGTTCATTAGTAAGTGAACAAGGCCTTATTTCAAGTCTCTGGGCGCATAATTTACTAGTTAATTGTCTTCATCCACACGTACTACGTCTATGTCTTCCAATTTCAGAATCTCTTCTCTTCTCCTTTTAATAATGGACTCGAAATAAATGAACTTGGGCTTAAAGAGATTAAATTTACGGGCCGGTTAATACCCATGACCGCCAGTTATCATTCTCCCATAGACGTTGTTCTATTTAAACATTTGGGCCTGAACTAAGACTAGCCTTGGTAATGCTTGGTGGCCTGTTAAGTATGCAACTATCCCAGGAATTGTTCTTCTAAGTTAACATTTTAAGGGGTCGTTTGGATTAAGTATTTAGGTGTGTTATTTGAGGTCAAATAACACAAAATCTGTTATTTGACCCCAAATAACATGTTTGGCTGACAAAAAGTGGGATGCGTTATTTGGATGTAGTGTTTTGCCAAATAACAGATTTTAGACCAAATAACACAAAAAGTGTTGTTTGCCAAATACTTGGGAGGGGTAGGTATTTGCCAAATAACAAGTTTGAGACCAAATATCACATACCAAACAACAGGTTTTATATTATGTGGTATTTGTGTGGTAATTGACCCCAAACAACAAGTTTATCAAATACTCAATCCAAACGACCCCTAAGATTGATGTTATATAATTGTGTGTGAATTTTCGTTATATGTTGGATTCAAGTGAAACATTATTTTGTTGTAACATTACTCGTAAGTTAGATACAATTTGATATAATTTATAAATATGTGAACAATATAATGATTTTTTTCATACATCCGGACTAAATTAGAATAAAACGCCGAACCATTAACTCTCAACCCACTTGCTCAGCCGGATGGATTAAACCGAGTTGAAAACCTTGGTCTACATTCATTGCCACATTCTTGCTTTTGCTCATGGCTACGACTTTTCCGAGAGTAGTGATCGATAGAGCTATGTGTAATTCACGGTGGACGATAGCCTCATTCTTAATATACAATCTCTAATTAAAATTTATTACTCATATAAAAAATAAACATCCAAAAATGGCACATCCCTCACTCAAGCTTCAAGCTCAATTCGAATAAGTTATAATAATTTTTTTTATTACTTGTATCTCCCTACAATAAATTCTGCCTTGGCCACTACCCAAACAAGTTCTTGACCTAACCTAACAAGTTTCCCTGTTTGATCATTATTCAAAAAGATTAACCCAATATGTTTATTGTTATGCACGTTGATCTTTTATATAAAATCATCAAAAAATGTAACCCATTTATCTAAAAATAAAAATAAAAAGCATATCTATTTGTTAACCAATTCCCCTAATTAAAACAGAAAACACTCAAAATGTGGGGTAAAAACCCCAAATATAATGAATAATTGAATACATCAACAGTCACATTCCTAAACTATCTCCATTCTCCTCTCATTTTGAGATCTTCGTAGACGTCTAATCATCATCATCATCATCATCATCCGCCGCATCTCAGTGCTGTAATTATTAGCCCAATTCCATTTCCTATATATCTATATATACCGTCTTATCCTCTTCATCATCAATCAGATTTTTAGCACTTATTATTCGTGTTAAACCCTAGCTAGACCACTACTCCTCAGCCATGGCCGACCATCATCATCTCCTCCTCCTCCTCTTATTCTTCTTCTTTGCTTCCTTCCTCTCCCATGGAGTTTTCGACGTTGAAGCTTCACACCGCTTTTCGAGTTTGCACCACGTTGCCAAACTTTCGTATCCCACCCACCAGCCTTATCGCACTGGCTACCATTTCCAGCCTGCCAAGCATTGGATCAATGGTAAAAATTTCCTCAACCATTAATTCTTCTTTGGTCCTCTCTTTCACCATAACTAGTTCATTGTAATTATTTTCTGATTTCTGTCTTTTGGATTTTTGGCATATTGTGATTGGGCGAAAATGGGTTTTGCTCACAGATCCGAATGGTGAGTCTCCTTTCTTCCATACACGATTTAGTAACCCTAGCGAACCAGACTGAATTGAACCCCTAACATTGCTTCCATTCAATATTTTGATTGGTCAAATATTTCCAGCACCTATGCTTTACAAGGGAGTGTACCACTTGTTCTACCAATACAACCCCAAAGGCGCCAAGTGGGGGAACATCGTGTGGGCCCACTCAACCTCCACCGACATGATCAACTGGTCGCCACGTGGCTACGGCGTCTACCCGTCCCAACGGTCCGACATCAACGGCACCTGGTCCGGCTCCGCCACCTTCCTCCACAACGGCGTCCCGGCCATCCTCTACACCGGGATCGACCCGGACCGGAACCAGGTCCAGAACATGGCCGTGCCCGAGAACCCGCTCGACCCATACCTCACCAACTGGGTCAAGGCCCACGAGAACCCGCTCATGGAGCCCACCCAACAGAACCGGATCAACGCGTCGTCGTTTCGTGACCCGACCACGGCCTGGCTCGGCCCAGACTCCACGTGGCGCCTGCTCGTCGGCAGCAAGCACGATCAGAAAGGATTGGCCGTGTTGTACAGGAGCAAGGACTTCGTCAACTGGATGAAGGTCGACCACCCGCTTCACTCCACCGAAGGGACCGGAATGTGGGAGTGTCCCGATTTCTACCCGGTCCTTGTTGGGTCTGAAGTCGGGCTGGACACCTCTGTGGTGGGCCCGAACGTGAAGCACGTGTTGAAGGTGAGCCTGGACGACACGAAGCACGATCACTACACGATCGGAAAGTACGAACCTTTCGTGGATGTCTACACCCCGGATCACGACGGTCTGGCCGACCAGGATCTGGGGATACGATACGATTATGGCAAGTACTACGCGTCGAAGACGTTCTTCGACTGGGGAAAGAATCGTCGCATCCTGTTGGGTTGGGTCAATGAGTCGTCCACCGAGGACGATGACGTTGCCAAGGGGTGGGCTGGGGTCCATGTAAGTTGTGTGTGCTTTTCATGTCCTTAAGCCATCAAAACTTTTTTTTATTTATTTATCGGGGACTAATTAATTAATTAACGTTCCTTATTGTTTATATATTGCAGACGATTCCTAGGAAGATATGGCTGGACAAATCGGGGAAGCAACTAGTTCAGTGGCCGATTGAGGAAGTAGAGAAGCTTAGAGAGAAAGGTGTGAAGAAGCCATGCCAAGAGCTCAAGCCAGGATCCGTTCATGAAGTGACGGGCGTCACGGCGGAACAGGCTGACGTGGAGATCTCGTTTGGGAAACTGGACTTGAGCAAAGCTGAGAAGTTGGACCCGAGCTGGACCGACCCACAGGCCCTCTGCACCAGAAGGGGTGCCTCGGTGAGAGGGGCTTTGGGCCCATTTGGCTTGCTGGTTTTGGGCTCCAAGTGCATGCAGGAATACACGGCAGTTTTCTTCAGGGTTTTCCAATGTCACGACGGCAAGCCCGTGGTGCTCATGTGCAGTGACCAAAGCAAGTAAGTTACTGAATGAAAGTGTGGGTTAATACATTGCATTGATCGGTCAAAACATGAATCACTCACTAAATAAATTATGATGTGTGAGTTAAGATTCTAAACGTTTGGGCTTTTGTAGGTCATCTCGAAACGATGAGAACGATAAAGCATCTTACGGGACCTTTGTGGACGTAAACCCTGCCCTTGAGAATCTTTCCTTGAGAACCTTGGTAAGTATTATTGGTTTGAATAGGGTTTTAAGTTCGAATTTGGACATCCCCAAGAGTTAGTTTTATTTCTAGAACTGGTTTGGGTCGGACTTTGCAGATTGATCATTCGATAGTGGAGAGTTTTGGTGCACATGGAAAGAGCGTCATCACAGCAAGAGTATACCCACTTTTGGCCATAGATGGGGCAGCCCATTTGTATGCATTCAACAATGGAACTCAAAGTGTGAAGGCCTCAAGACTCAGTGCATGGAGCATGAAGAAAGCTCGAATTGGTTGATTAATCACTGTGTGATTAGTTTACCAATAATAGAGATTACTTAGATTGATTGATTGAGGATGATCAAACTGTAATCATTAGAGAAGGATCGAGTTTTCAAGTGTTTATTTTTGATAGGTGTGCATGAAGTTGGATGTTTATTTGCCATGATGGACGGTTATTTGAAAAACATAATTTTTCTAGAAATTGGGTATACATAATTAAGTTGTATAGCTTCAACACGGCGCACAAGAAACATCACAATATGATCAGATCCAATATGATTAATTCTAAGTTGATTTTTAAGCACCAGACAAAATTAGAAAATTATCTTGTTAACAATCACAATATGATATGATCCAATATGATCAATGTATACGAAGCAAAGTAGAAAATAGGGCACGCAAAGTAGAAAATTCTAGTTTAATTCTTATTTTGAGGTATTCATACCGCAATAAAGAATTTTTTCAATTATAATAAATTTTTTCTCATTACTAAATTTTCCCCCTTTTTAGCCGATTACTACTAAAATTCGCTCCCTCCCTCCTAATCGATAAATTTTGGCTCCACCCAGAACAAATGATGAGATAAACTATTTCAAAATTTTACAATTGAGAATTTTTGAAATTTATGATCTTTAAGTATTTTACATTTTCTAAACGCATAACTATGTCAAATTTCGAGAGAACAAGAGATTTTAAAAAATTCTCTTGTCTAAACCGACCAAATATTTCAAACCAAACCGGTTTATTCGAACCAGACAGAATCATGGACGGCACTAGTGCCGGCCGTTACAGCACCATAGAATACCTCCGGCATAGATGCTAAACTGACCCAAATCGGCAAGTGTTGAAAACTGAAAGAGAATAAAATAGCCGAACTCTTTTTAACACTTGTTACATTGCTCCTCCCCATACCCAGTCAATGCGTACTATTTGTACGCAAATAGATATATAAGGAGTACACAATCCACCACCACTCAAATCAAACCGTGGAAGCAAACGTTTTACACACACACTCTCATCAATCATCATGTCGAGATTGCAGGACAAAGTGGCCATCATCACCGGCGGCGCCAGAGGGATCGGCGCCGCCGCCGTGGAGCTATTCCACCAACAAGGAGCCAAGGTCGTGATCGCCGACATCCAAGACGCACTCGGCCAGGCCCTCGCCGACAGGCTCCGCGGCGGCGGGACTGACGATAGGCCATCACCTACATCCACTGCGACGTGTCGAAGGAAGACGACGTGGCACACCTGGTGGACGCCACGGTGGCCAGGTACGGGAAGCTGGACGTCATGTACTGCAACGCCGGCGTATCGGACGGACGGCCGGGGAGCATCCTCGACGCCTCGCGGGAGCAGCTGGACCGCATGATCGGCGTGAACCTGGTGGGCGCGTTTCTCGGAGCGAAGCACGCGGCCAGGGTGATGATCCCACTGAAACGCGGCGGCGGGAGCGTGCTGTTCACGGCGAGCGCGTGCACCGCGATCGGTGGGCTCGGGAGCCACTGCTACGCGATGACCAAGTACGGGATCGTGGGCCTGGCCCGGAACCTGGCGAGCGAGCTGGGCCGGCACGGGATCCGGGTGAACTGCGTGTCGCCTTCGGGCCTGGTGACGGGAGTGGCCGGCGGGAAGGTGAAGAGCGCGGCTGAGGTGGCGCGGATAGAGGCGTTCTTCAGCGAGGTGGGGAATCTGAAGGGGAGGAACCTCACGGTTGATGACGTGGCGAGTGCGGCGTTGTTTCTGGCCGGCGACGAGGCCCGGTACGTGAGCGGGGTCAACCTGGTGGTTGATGGCGGGTTCAGTACGGTCAACCCGTCCATGCTGAACACCATGCAAATTGGATGAACATTAGGGCTAGCTTTGCTTGTTGGGTTTTTGCAAACGAGGGTTTTGGTTGAATGTTAGAGTCAGTTTACTTTCATGTTCATCAACTGTTTTATTTTTCATTCTGTTTTTCTAGTTCGTTTCCAACTCCGAAAACAGAAGGGGTAGCTTTATGTTGTTTTCGACATATTTTCTCGCATTTTCAAGGATTTTTTTTTTGTCTTATCGGTGAGGGTAATCTTGTTCTCTGTGTTCAATGAGCTTTCAAAGATCCTACTATTTCTTTCCCCCTGGTACACCATTCTTTCGTGTTTGAAGGATTTTTATGAGGCAAACTGTTAATAACGTGTGTGATGCTTACCGTAGTCCGATTTATGCAGACAAAAGCTCTCAAGTATCCCAAACTCGAATCGCAAAATTGCATTGGAGAAATATTTGGTTCACGTATTCTTTGCTTGCATCACAAAGAACACACATACTGGGAAAACTCCATCATCTCTTCTTAAAGGAGTCATGGGTAAGAATCTTTTGTTGATGGACGACAATCCACAAAAACGTATCGACTTTTGTTGGAATCACTCCTTGCTAAATCGTCTTGGTCAAGAAATCTTATGATGCAAATTACTTCTCCTTGGCAATGCATGAATAAATTGAGTGAACGGAGAAGTCTTGCGCAGGCTGCTAAACCACCACGTCAAGACATGTAGAATAAACTGAAGAAACAAGGTTATTAAGTGTGTCAAACAATCTTTCTCTCTTCCTTTCAGCCCCACCTCTAAGAGAGGTATTGAGAGGAATTCTCCCACTCAATGACAACAATCTTGCTTTCCACCAACAATCTTCTTCCTCGACGAATCTCCAAAGCCACTTGAAGACTGGAGCCCTGTTCTGCGACTCGAGGTCCATGATTCGCAAACCATCCCATTTTTTTGGAGTATTGAACCGTTCCCACACATCAAGGTGTACTTTTTGCTGGTCATTAGCTCCCTTCCAAATGAAAGATCTTTGAATGCTTTCTATCTTTTGAACCACACACTTTGGAGCAACAAATAGTGAACAGCGAAACAGGAGCTGGCTAGTCAGAACAACATTGCAGAGGATAATTCTCCCACCCAACGGCAACAATCTTGCTTTATCACCATCACAGAGAGGAGGCTAAGATTCCTAGAACCCACCTTTGCATTTTGAAATTAAACCCCGAATGATACCACAATTTTGAAAAGGCAATCCCAACTCACTTTATCGAAGGCTTTCCCTATGCCCAACTTAAGTATTATTCCCGGTTTGCCACCCCCTTCTTCTTATATCCACTAATTCATTTGCGATTAGACCAACCTCATGATTCTATCGCCCTCTTACTCCTGCAAATTGATTACGAGAAATGATTACGTTCATCAGGGGTCTTAGACGCATTAGCAGGACCTTGGAATCCACTTTATTGAGGATTCCGATAAGGTTGATTTGTCTGAAATCAATGGCCTCCTCGACTGCTTCCTTTTTCGGAATTAAACAGATCAAAGAGTAAGCAACGGAGTATGGAACCTTCCCTGCGGTATAGAAGTCGTCGAAAGCCTTTAATCATGAACTTAGTACTCTCTCTCTTCCATTGTATTGATATCCTTCAGTTTCTTAAGCAGTCCTGCTATTGCCAAAGAGTTCTGTATTCCAACCTTTAATCATGAACTTAGTACTTCTCAAGCGCTGGCAGAAACGAAACATGAACCTATTTCCGAGACTGGAATTATCCACCAACCCACCAATTGAGTGAAGAAATCTTCTTTTTTTTTTTTTGGTAAAAGGATAGACGCATTGCGCCTAAGTTACATTAGAAATAGATCGTTCGTGGGAAACTCCCATTACATCATGACAGATCCATTGAACAAGATTCACGTCGTACACATTGAAGAGATGTGTACCAAAATCATAATCATGAGCCTTGCACGCCAAGTAATCGGCTGCAAAATTGGCCTCCCTATACACATGGGAAATGCGAACATCCCATTGCCGATTCAAAATGTGGTTGAATTGTTTGGCAATGTTGCCGTGCCGGTGATCGTCTTCAAACCTGTTGTTGATGATAGTAACAGCCGTTGTTGAATCAACATTTAGCTGAATCTTCCGAAACCCTTCTTTCCAAGCGATTTTGAGTCCTTCCAATGCTCCCCTTAGCTCCGCTGCCGTGATGGAATAGGAGCCAAAGTTACAGACGTAGGCACTGAGGCACCTTCCCAGATGGTCACGAAACAAGCCTCCAGCAACAGCTTCTTTTCCAGGATGGAGAACAGACCCGTCATATTGAAGTTGAATCCATCCCTCGTCAGGTGGCTTCCATCTAACCAGACCATCCTGCTTCTTCCCCTTGAGCAGAGTACTTGTTTTATGCAAATTACTGTGAGCTTGTCCAACAATGTTGAACCAAGCATTGATCTTGGCATGGAGGCCATATCTGTTGAAAGTTTTCCCTTCCATGACCTCCTCGTTCCTTTGTTTCCAAAGCTGCCAGCAGATGATGCCAAACTCGGTAGCAGTGCCTTCATTCTTAATGTTCATCTCAAACCAAGCATCAAACGGCATGCTTCTGCTTCTATCTATGTCATTGTTCTAAAACTTATCCCAAGTTGATTTTTCTTTGCTGCATTTCCTCAGGATGTGCTCGATAGTCTCTTCTTCAGTTTTGCAGTGATTACAGTTGTCGTCGGTGGTGAGCTTTCTTCTAGACCTCTCCTTTTTGGTAAGAAGTCTATCAAGTGTGACTAACCACAGGAAGAACTTGATCCTGTTAGGTCCCCTCCACTTCCAGAGCTCCTTCCATCTTCCATTGACCTCGATCTCTTCAGCATCCGCAGCAAGTGTGTATGATGATTTGAGTCTGAATCTGCCGTCCTTCTCAAGTCCCCAGAACGAGGTATCCTCTCCTAGTTCAGGGTCAGGAGCCTCCATTCCTGCAATAGCATTCAAAATATCATTAGGGAGGTACTGTCTTAGCCTCTCCCAGTCCCACTCTCCTTCTTCTGTAGTCCAATCAGCAACAACAGAGCCCTTTTCCTCCTCCAAAATATCAGTGATAGCGTGGTCAGCAAGGATGGTCTCATTATCGAGCCAGGGCTGCATCCAGAAGAGGGTTGACTTCCCATCCCTAATGCTCCAGCAGGTAGCATGTTGCATCAGTTGCATTCCTTTTACAATCGCCTTCCACAAGTTTGAGTGGTTGGTTTTCTTCATGGCAAGTATAACCCCATTCTTCTGTTTGAAGTATTTGCTCTACAAAACTTGAACCCACAAGTCAGAACCATTATTAAGCATGTGCCATCCAAGTTTGATCATAAATGCCATGTTCATATTTCTGGCTGACTTAAGGCCTAGACCTCCCTGCTCTTTTGGCTTGCAGATTTTATCCCAGGATATCAGATGAATCTTTCTTTTCCCTTCCCTAGACCCCCACACAAAGTCCCTGACTTTCCTATCTATGGCATCACATATTGAGGCAGGGAGAAAGGTGATTTGCATCGCATAAGTAGGGAGGGCATTCAACACAGAGACAGCCAAAGTCACTCTCCCAACAAGAGAAAGAGTTCTAGCTTTCCAACTTGATAGCTTCTGATCAATCCTATCAAGTATGTACTTATAGGTGGATTTGGTAATGCGTCCGTGAATCACAGGAACCCCCAGGTATCTTCCTAGATCAGAAGTAGCTTGGATTCCAAGTCTGTTGCATATTACAGCTCTGGTTTGACTTTTAACATTCTTGAAAAAAAAGACCCTAGATTTCTCCTTACTAACAGATTCTCCTAAGGCAACACAGAAGCAGTCAAGGCAATTCATGACAATGTCAGCTTGTTGGGGGTTGGCTTCCACAAACATGATAAGGTCATCAGCAAAAAATAAGTGGGACAAAGCAGGTCCACCTGGAGACAACCTAATGGGATTCCATCTATGTTTGCTAACTTCACTAGATATGCAATGCCCTAATCTTTCCACACAGAGAGTAAAAAGGTAAGGGGAGAGGGGACATCCCTGTCGAAGTTCTCTGGTAGGTTTGAAGCTGTCAGTTTCTCCCCCATTCCAGAGCACTTAGTAGCTAGCAGTGGTTACACACTCCATGATAATTCTGATGCATTCCACTGGCAGTCTTGCAGCTTTGAGTGTTTCTTCAAGGAAGTCCCATTCAATTCTGTCGTTTGCCTTAGCAAGGTCCACCTTCAGGAGCATATATCCCTTCTTACCACTCTTCCTGGCCATAGAATGGATGGTTTCCTGCAAGATGATAATATTATCAGTGATGTGCCTCTTTGGAATAAAACTTGACTGGTTCCTATTGACTAACTGATGCATCAGGGGTTTAAGGCTGTTAGCAATAAGTTTAGCCACAACTTTATATCCAACATTGCAAAGGCTGATGGGTCTAAATTGGTTCATGGAGGAGGGGTTATTAGTTTTGGGAATCAGGGCAAGAAAAGTTTCATTCATAGACTGGATCAAGCTGGGGTTTCTAAAACAGGAAATAATGAAAGCAGAAAAGTCCTTCCCCACAGAATCCCAACATTTCTGGAAGAAGAGGGCATGAAAGCCATCTTTCCCTGGGGCTTTAAGCCCATTCATATCCATAATGACGGCTCTAATCTCCTCAAAGGTGGGAGAGGAGGCAAGCTTAGTCAACAAGTTATCATCAATAGGAGGAAAAAGTGCAGGAATAACCTGCTTGTCCACAGCCACAGACTTAGTAAAAAGCTGCAAGAAATACTCCCTGGCCATGGTGAGGAGGGTGTCAGCATCATGAATCCACTGCCCTTGATCATCCCTAAGGCAAGTAATCTTGTTCCTCTTCCTTCTGCAAAGTGTACTGGTGTGGAAGTAGTTGGTGTTGAGGTCTCCAAAGACAACCCAGAGTGTTCTAGACTTCTGGATCCACAACATCTCCTCTTGCCAGAGATTTTCCTCCAAAGCTTCTCTCGTTTGTTGTTCCTTTTCCACAGATCTTGAAGAAGGCCTTCTCTCATTGAGGAGTTCCAGAGAATTGAGCTCTTTCAGCAGCAGTTTCTTCCTTTTGAAGATATTGTCATACACTTCTTTGTTCCACTTCTGGAATTCTCCAGCCAGAACCTGCAGCTCAAGAGGGAAATTTCCACCTCCCCTTCCAGGTAGCTTTCATGAAGTCTGGGAAGCTTTCATGAGCTAGCCATGAGGCGAGGAAATGGAATCTTCTCACAAGATTCTGACTGTTCTGTTGTGTTGTAGTACAGGTCAAGATCGGTCTGTGGTCCGATTTGATCTTAGGGAGATGGAATGTGGTTGTTCCAGGGTACTTGTGCTGCCAGCTCAAATTGCAGAGGCTTCGATCAAGCCTCTCCTTGATCCCAGAC